CCAATATTCATTCTAAACACAGATGCTAACAATTGGCACTTTATTTTTAATACTGTCAAATACCCTATTAATAACAATAACAACATTGTCTTTCAGAAAATACTAATCATACTCTATTCATATTTTCCTCTGAGACAAAACGTTAACAAACCCCAAAAAAAAGATTACTAGAAAAAAATCCACGCGGACCAGGCAGCGGACGGGACTCGAACCCGCATCCTTCGCTATCCGGGCGAATGCACTGACCATTATGCTACCACGGCCCTATTAGCCGCGTTGAAATTTTCCCAGCCTAAGCTTCAGCTTCAGCAAGGCAGCGCCATCTGTTCGCATTGTAGGTAACCCACAATGTCAAATGAATACTTTTTCAAGTATTAAACATTTGAAAGAAGAAATAGCAATTATAGTTATGTTTTTTTTAAGCATCTAATGCTAAAAAAAAAAAATTCGACGCGGCTAATAGGGCCGTGGTAGCATAATAGTCAGTGCATTCGCCCGGATAGCGAAGGATGCGGGTTCGAGTCCCGTCCGCTGCCTGGTCCGCGTGGATTTTTTTCTAGTAATCTTTTCTTTAGATTCAAACATCTAGCAGTTAAATGCTTAAAAAATAAATAAAATCATAAACCCCAAGAAGTTTATACGCAAATGAAATCATTAAAAAACCTAAAAGTGCAGCCATTCCCAAACGTTGAACGCATTATAATACTACAAAATTTAAGAGTAGTGATAAAGCGAGTCATTTATGATGATACGTGAAATTTTGTAATGAGTACGTTTACACCGGCCATGTTTATTCTCATTTAGTAACATTGGTTTATCTGTTTACCTCTTATCTTAAGGAAGTTGAATAGAGTTCAACTCGTTTCGTGGAAATGTAATCCCAAATACATAAAGGAGTTGTCCTCTTTTTACAAGGAGCTTGGTTTTATGTTATAAGGCTGTGTCCCCAGTAAGCAAACTGTCAGCGGCCGACTGAGTGAGCCGCAAATTTGCAGCGAACTGAAATTTGAGTTAGCTGCAGACTCAAATCAATTTTCGTGCGTCGCAAGCAAACTGTTAAGAGTTAGCCGCTTATTTAGCCGACCGACTTAATTATCACTTTACTTTTGTTGTACGAAGGGAGTGGTTGTGTTGGTCACGATGGATATTTTTGAAGTAATTGGTATCTTAGAAGCGCTGAAAGAGGATAAAAGGAAGCACTGGGTTCACCCATTATACAAGAAAAGGTTGAGCATTGGACAATTTCACACTCTTTATCCAGAACTAAGGAAACATCCAGAAAAATTTTACGACTATTTCAATATGACTTCTCATACATTTGATGAATTGTTGAAATCTATAACCCAGTACATAGCTAAAAATAATATCACAAGAGATACATTATGTCCCGAAGAACGGCTTACTATAACTTTGAGGTAAGTAAATAATTAACGCTTTAGGATTTTAAAAAAATATGTTATTTTTATTGTAATACAAAGTCACTTTCGCATTTATAGTTTTTAATTTAACAATCACTTTTCAAAGTTACTGTATTATTAAATTGAATTAGGAACATATATGGTAACATTAAGTTGGTAACCTGTCATTCCTCATCTTCAGTGTGGTTTGAATCGCCTCGCAATATTGCTTCTATGTCTTCTATTTCCGCTGAAGAACCTGTAGAGCTATGTGATGGACTGTTTCGAGGGTAGTTTTGCACATTTGGTGTACTGCTGCTTCCACTCGCATAGCCATACTGATGTGGGTACTGGTAGGCATTCGTCCATCCAGTTTGCATCATACCACCGTCATAATTATTATGTACACTATATTTTATATTTTTAATAATTTTCATCACTTCGAACCGAAATTCAAAATTCTGTGTTGGGGACATTGTCTTCATTTCCGGTAAAATATTTAGTAGAAAGTTCATATCTGGATCGTTTTCTCTTTTTTTTTTCCATCGAGTTAATTAGGGCTTCTTGAAACACAGTCATCTTTTTTGGTCTACTGACATTAACTACCGAGTCAGTAGAATCATTTTCATCTAAAATAGCGCTACTGTCGCTAGACGTCTCGGCGCTAATATTGCCAGATGTCTGGTTGCTAGCTCTAGAAACATTTAAAAACTGTAACATGTCCAAGTATGGTGTCTTGCGTTTTTTTGTTGCGCCACTTCCGCTTTTGACTGAGGAATCCTTATTTTTTTCTCTGGTGTGATAGTCGCGCAAACCCTTCCATTTTTTTTGTAGGTCTTTTACTGAAACAGAAATAATCGGTAGTTCAATATTCTTTCCAGATTCTTGTCAAGTGGACTAAGTTACAGAAAAATTGCACAAGAGTTTCTTGTTGGAAAATCGACGGTATCGAAAATAATAAGTGAAACTGCATGCATTATATGGGATATTTTACAGCCACAGGAAATGCCGGAACCTTCTGAAGAATTGTGGCTAGAAATAGCAAAACGATATTATAAAAAAACCAACTATCCTAATTGTATAGGATCTATCGATGGCAAGCATATCCGTATTAGAAAACCACCAAAAAGTGGGTCTAACTATTTTAATTATAAGAAGTTCTTCTCAATTGTTCTGTTAGCCGTAGCAGATGCAAACTGTTCTTTTATAGCTATTGATGTAGGTGCTTGCGGACGAAATGCTGACAGTAATATATTTAAAGAAAGTGGTTTTGGCAAAAAATTGGCGTGTGGGTCTCTGAAGATTCCTAACTCAACTAAATTGCCTAATTCAAATGGATTGCCCCAACCTTTAGTGTTTCTTGGAGATGAGGCATTTGGATTACAAAAGCATATCTTGAGGCCTTTTCCTAATAAAAGTTTAAATAAGGAAGAGCGAATTTACAATTATCGTCATAGTCGAGCTAGGAGATGCGTGGAATGTGCATTCGGCATCCTAACAAGCAAATGGAGAGTTCTGCATACACCGATCGCTACTAATGTGAATACAACCATCGCTATCGTAAAAGCCGTTTGTATTTTACATAATTTTGTCATAGCAAGAGAACAAGCACAATATGCACATATTTCGCGACGTACCTCAACAACTCTTACAAGTTCAAGGAGCCAAATTATTACTGTATCAAATTCTGGAAAAACAACAAGAGAAAACTTTAAAAACTATTTTCTTAACGAAGGAAAGCTATCCTGGCAAGAGAAATATTTGTAAGTTGTAGCTACAGGAAGAAATAGTGTAACGGAGTGTGTAAAGCCGTAAATACTATGTAAATTATGATACTTTGTTTTATGTAGTGAGTGATACAAGTATATTGTTGAATAAATAATAAATTCATTAGAATGGAACTTACTTCTTTTTTGTTTAGTGTTTTCTTCTAAGTTTTGCCAATCATCGTATATAATTTCAGCGACTTCATTCCAATTGCTCTGCTTTAATACTCTGTTGCTGTATTCTTCACTCGACATGTTCCATATGCATGGTCTATTCTGTATTTCACTAATGAACCTTTCCGTATCAAAGGACATCTTGGATTTTCAGTGATGTGTGTGTGCGTTGAGATTAGTTAGGTGCGATGCAAAAAAACACGTCCTAACACGATGATAGCTTTTTTCCAACTATCCGAATAATCAGTTTGAGTCACTACGCCCGGCGAACAACCAATCGCCGCCGCCGACTGGAACCGGTTTTGGTGGGAGTCGGCCGCTCACTAAGATAGTCGGCGCGCGTAACGCTGCAAACTGCGTACAGTGAGCGCAAAACTAGCAAACTGTGAACACTCCATTTGAAATATATGGAAGGGCGTACTAAACCGATACGCCGCTAACTCAGTCGGCCGCTGACAGTTTGCTTACTGGGGACACAGCCTAAGAGTAAACTAATGAACACCAAACTACATTTAATTAAAAGCCATAAAAATATGAAGTATAAAACCAATGCACAAATTATTTTAGCCATATTTGTTTCTTAGGTTTTCACGCACATCACTCATTAAATAAAACTAGTTTTTACGGGTTAATGCACGAAACTTTATTTATTTATTGACGTTTCGCAGCCTTTTCAGGTCTGCATCGTCAGAATAATGATTTTATAAAATCATTATTCTGACGATCCATGCAATGATTTTATAAAATCATTATTCTGACGATGCAGACCTGAAAAGGCTGCGAAACGTCAATAAATAAATAAAGTTTCGTGCATTAACCCGTAAAAACTAGTTTTATTTATTTTAGCCATTCCCAATTATTTTTAAATAAATAAAACGCATAACTTTGATAAAAGAAAAAAAATACTAATGGCAGCACTATAAACATGTTTGTGTACTAATCTGTGGCTATGGCTAGTGGTTGTCACTGTCAAGCATTATGAGTTCAGATATGCACGGTAAAAATAAACGCACGTACAGACTTTTCATTCCTTGTAAAATAATTTTAATACCTAATGTAAACAGGTCATTTTCCTAATTAGATATGTATCTAATTGATATGAATGAATTGGTGAAAATAAATGCGTGTAACATGGGTTTATTTCTAAGCTCACATATATTACATTAATCAATAAATTATTTATTTTGAAATTAATATGTACCAAGTATGTACGGTATGCACACATTCATAAATTCTAAACACTGACAGCCAGTAGGTAAAGACTTGTTTGTCACCTGTCAGTTGACTTTTTTTACTGGCTTTAGATCACATGAATTTAGTAACTTGCAGTGCCTAACTCCGTAGACTTCGTTAGTTAAAACTTCTCAAAATAAAGGAATATTAGGTTATTTTATTCAAATATGTGTATTCTTAGATGTTTTATTCGATTGTTGATAATTTTTTGCAAGAAAATGTGTCATTATGCCGTTAAACGTAATTGCATTTTCATAAAACTAAAGTACGAATTTATAAAAAACGGTAATCTCGAAAATTAAATGACTTACAGAAATAAGTTACTTTTAGAGCCCTCTAATTAATTACATATAATATATGCAAGTCAGTTACTATAGCCCAATACAGGACATCTCCTTTAATTAAGTTCCCAAATTAAACGATGTTTTACCTTATTGGGATCATTCTTGGAGTCGTCGAGCAGTCGTCCTTCCACGCGCAACTCCCACGATGCCACGGCGTTATCTCCTTGTCCTGTCCCACATCATATGATTATAATTTAAAAAAAAATCTACAGCTTAGAATCTTAAAAGAGATTTAAACAGCTTCATTTGCTCATTAAGTCATGTCTCAGTATATTTATTTATCTTATTTTAAGTTTGTGTTGATGAATTGTTGTTTGGTATGCTGTCCCCATATTTTTTTTCATATCTAATTTTGAGCATGCTGTGGCAACTAAAACAGTGCTTTTTGTGTCATTTTAATATCATCATCATCATCAGCCTATTAATGTCCCCACTGCTGGGGCACAGGCCTTCCCGGTGTATGGAATAGGGAGATTGGGCCATGACCCACCACGCGGGCCCAGTGCGGATTGGCGGGTGCTAACGACTGCAGATGCAGCCGGGACCAACGGCTTAACGTGCCTTCCGAAGCACGCGTCATTGGATGGGTGACCAAAAATTACTATCTCGAGCTTTTGCTTGTCTACTATTACGGCTCCATGTGCGGTTGTTGGCGGCACCTGCAGCACCTGCAGCACTTAGTCCAGGAAATGAAGCATTTAGACTGGCAATTTTTTCGTCCACCATGTATTTACTTGTAATTTTCATAAAAGGTAGGGAACAGCTCAAGGGTCATTTTCTATATCATGCCGCTGTACGCTAGAGCCTTGGGGGTGGTTGCCACCCCATCTCGTGGGTGGATTTTTTTTATTACATTTTAACTATAGGAATCGACGGAAAAGGTAATTGTAAGAAAAAAATGTTATATACGTGATTTTCGTAAAACTAATATTTTTTGAGCTATTCAAAGTGTAAAATAACAGATTTTTGACGATAAAATCGACGTTTTTAAATGGTTTTTGCAAATAACTCTAAAAATATGCATTTTATCAAAAAAGTATAGAAAGTCAAATTGAAGCTTTTAAAAAAACGAAAACAATGCGTTTTTTATAATAATTCTATGACAAATATAAACTAAGATACATGCTTAGCTTTTTTCGTCAAATACATAAATTGGAAGATTTACAGCAAAATAACGAGATAAACATGCATTATTCGAAGAAAGCTCATAGAATTTTTTTTTAAAGTATTTAATTAGAGCTTTCAAACAAATAAAAAACAATGTCTCTAGCATGACAAATTGACCGACTTATGATCAAAATAAGATCGGTACCCGCTTTTTTCTAAGTAAAAAATCTGTGAAAACTACCCCCTAATTAAAATTAATTCCAATCTTCTTTAATTCTCTTTATACATACTATTAATACACCCACGAAGTTTGACCAATTTAAAGTGCCAAATTTTAGAAAAAATGGAGTTTAAAGAGAAAACCATTTTTTTTCAATTTCGTGTTTTTCACCATTTTCTTAAAAATATCTCCCAAAATACTAAAGATACGAAAAAAAAAAAACGATATAGTACTAAATTGTAGCTAGTAGAAATTGTATCATAAGCATGAAACAATAATTTTACCCATATTTATGTTTTTAATTTAATTTTTGATAATAAGGGCCTTCATGGGCCGTTTCACCCCTAAAAAACAAAAAGCGTACAACGGCACAATAAAAAGTGTGAAATACCCTTATCCCAAATTTTTGTACAAATTGGTGCTAGACAAAAAAATTGCTAGGTTTTACCATTTTTTTAGCTTCATTTCCTGGACTAGATTGTTTGGCAATAACAAAATTGTTCGCAGAGGCCGGCCGGCCGAAGTATCGACTACCTGCAGCGGTCGCAGCCGATTTGTGATCGTCTGCTGCCATGTTTACGGGCGTTCCGACAACCGGTGGCCGCGGGACCGAACTAAATTGCGGTCTCTTGAGTTTTGTAATAAAACAGCTTTTCCGCCGTCGCGGCAGGTATAAGTAAAAACCACTTCTCCAGCTCTTTACGTAGATTGTTCTCGAATATTTGTGGCGGCGACATCTATATGCCCCACATATATACGGATGGAGGAAATCATTACTTACCATCCTCAAGAGATGGCGTTACCTGCACTGCGATCATAATAGTATGGAAGCCTACATCGCGCAAATGAAATTCGGAGGCTAACTCTTCATATATACGATGCCCGACCAACATCAATCGGGCCGCGGCCCCGGAGCTACCATCACCCAGCTCGGAGGAAAATCTTCCCCTTTGGCCTTCCTACATATTATTTACTAGAATTTCAGCTGTCCTCGGTGGCGCGCTTTAAATCGTAGTAAAGCTGCAGGCTGGTCTGGTTTCGTTGGCGTCGATCGTTACCTGGGTAGAAGGTGTTGGAGATGAATATGCGCAGCTTCCGCTTCTGCTTCATGGGCCGCTTGAGCGCCTCCTGTATGTCGAGCCGCTTGCGCATGATGGTGGCGTCCAGCTTGCGCTCGAACGAGAGCAGGTCCATGTAGGCCTGCGACTCCGGCACCAGGTCGCGCACCTGACGCAACAAAACACAAATCAAACCAGCTTCGCTCTGCATCTTCTATCGCATTTTTCACGGGGCGTGTTCTGAGGAATTGTTCGGATTAATTCCATCTGCTGCATTTCGCCATCGTACATCGCGACAAAAATTTCATCCCCATCATCTTGATGCGTGGCTATCCACAACCGTGCGTTTTTGTCGAAATTTTTTACCACGTACGACAAAACTGTGGAATATATTGTCGTCAGCAGTGTTTCCGAACCGATACGACCCAAGAACCTTCAAAAAAAGAGCGTACTCCTTCCTTAAAGGCCGGCATCGCATTTGTGATACTCCTGGTGTTGCAAGTGTCCATGGGCGACGGTGATCACTTACCATCAGGTGAGCCGTCTGCTCGTATGCCCCCTATAACATAAAAAAAATAAAAAAAAAGCTAACCAATCAATCAATTTTTCCAACACTTACACCGTTTAGCTTAGCTCCGAAGTAAGCAATGTAGGTTGTGTTACGGGATACCAGTGTAACGAATACGATACATATATATATATTGATACAGAAATACATATTAAACATCCATGAGTAGAAATGCTCGTATTGATCCTGCAAACATTTGTCCGCGTTACCCCATCCTATAAGACCAACCTTACAGTGCTTACTTTTGAGTTAGGCTAATTGGTGTGTTAGAAATATTTATTCATATTGAACATCACCATCAACATCTCTACATGATTTATTCATTAATCATGTAGTGTGTTTTATGATGACTACCAATGACACTATACAATGGAGGTGAACGTTAATTGGCCTCCATGCACACATTCCTCTGTCTGCTTAGATGCTTTAAAATTTACTCACAATTTAAATACAATTCAAAAATGAACGATTTCTTTCTACATTCACATAAAATGAAAATTTTAAATACAGGTACTGTGTGAGAGTTAGAACAACATTGAATTATTTATACCTTTTGTGGCAATATTTTGTCCGCCAATCTTTTCTTGCGTTTACCACCAGCCGCTCCGCCGCCATACACCTCTCTGCATGTCAGAAATAAAAATAATTCATTTATATTCTATAAATCTTATGATACTGGCGACCCGCCCTAGCTTTACATGGGTGGTTGGCTCGGTAGCTTTAGAGCTAACTAATATTATTTATAGAGATAAAGAAAGATATACCTTTAATCAAGCTATGTATGTTATCGCTGAGGCACACGTATCTCTATGGATGGAATAGGGACAGGGCAGTGAGCTCGGTGGATTTTAACAAGTTTTAAAATGCATATTAGTCCTTTTTACTTTTCATAATTTTCTGCAAGCTGCAACGCAAGGGCACAGGCATCGATTCACCAGAGGCAACCACCGATCGCCGCCGCTACTGGCTCAGTGGCAGCTTAGTTTGCGTCGATACAAAATGTATGAGAAAACAACCGCAGCTAGCGGACGTGTTTAGTGAAGATGTAACAGACAGACACACCAGTATGGATGGTTGTTTACTCACGAGTTGTAGATGTTGGGCTTGTGTTGGGGCGGCATGGGGCTGCGCGCGTCGGCGGCACGCTTGGGGGCCTGCGGCGGCGCCGGCCGGGCCCCTCCCGCCCCACCCGCGGCCCCACCCGCGGCCCCGCCGGGCCCCACCCCGGCCCCACCCGCGCCCCGAGGACCTACTCCCACTCCGCCACCCGACGGCGGGAACCCGCTGCGCGCCTGCTGCTGGTGCGAGACGCAGATCCGAGTTGAACCATTGAAAAACCAACAATATATTTATTTATATCAAATACTTTTATCTATCATTACAGGTATTTACCCAAGGCAACAGATACATCCATTTAAGAAATACATTATAAATATAACACCTAAACCCACATAATATAACACATTGGAAAAATAAATAATTAATTGAAACCGATGATCCACTCAGCTTGTTTTGTGAATTCGCTCAGAGCACAAACGAATAAGTCTGTCTTTTCATTAATTCTGTTGATTGTGCGCAATGCACGCGTCAGTGGAGCCTCACTCAATAATTTAGTGCGTCCAGTAGGAATTACCAAGAGGCCCGGCCGCCGCCGACGCCAAATGTATTCATTTGGAACACTAAAACTGATCATCCTTAGTATGCCCGGATTAAATATCTTACCCCGAAGCACTTTAAAAATATCCATGATACACAAACACGATGGTGTAAAAGTGGGGATGACCCTTAATTGCCTCCTGAATTGTGATGTGTGCAGGCGAGACCACCCTTTGTCCCTACCGCCCTGCACGTTGCCGCGTGTGTAGCGCGATTGGGACAATTTCTCGATCAGTCGGTTGGTAGCTGTCACACGGAGCGCACGTATTTCGATAAAAAAGGCGGCAGATCTTAATGAGCATGAAGTCTGGACACGAGTGATCGAAGTATATATCTAATACTCATGTCTACTATCCCTTGGAGCTGTTAAAAAATCAAACTTGTAAGCCAAAGCAATCAAAAGATGCTGCCGTTTTTGGCGCAAATTTTGGAAACTAGCATGGGAAATAAAACCTACAGGGTGCTTCCTGTGAACTTGGAATCTTAAAATTAGGTATGAAGTAGCGTCTTATAGTACAGACACACATACTTGCTATTTAGTATTAGCGGGTATGTTGAGCTAAACAAACGCATTGATGACGGTCCCAGTGGTTTAAAAAAAACAGAAGATCTGTAGGCAGATCGGGCCTTGACTTCCTTCTATGGTGTTACCGCAAAAAAGGAAATACTGGGTGAAGAATTGGCAACAGAAAGAAATGTACATATTCTAAATAAGTCATGTTTGTATTACTAGAAAAAATTTCAACGCAAACGTGACAGAAACCCGCACCCTATGCTATCTGGGTGGATGCACTGATCAATTATGCTACCGCAGCCCTGACAACCGTATCGAATTCTTTCTAGCCTTTCTTAAGCTGCAAGGCAGCGCCAACTCTTCGCATTATAAATAACCCACAATGTCTAATGAATAACTTTACAAGTAATAAACATTTGAAAAAAGATATAGCAATTAAAGTTATAATTTTATCTTATTTAAATCTAATGAAAATATTACAAGAAAAATCTAAAGAAAAACTATTTCTATTTTTCTAGTAATATTTTCTGTACATTTAAACATCAAGCAGTTACATAATTAAAAAATATTAAAATGTATAAAATAAAGTTTGTTTTATTTATCCCACATGTGGGGCCGGTAGATATGAATTTCAGTTTGATACCTCCACACGTTCCTAAAAAAACGGTCTTGACAGATGGACGGACTGACAACAAAGTGATTCTGTAAGGGTTCCGTCTTTTTTTTTCATTTTGAGAACCCTAAAAAGCTAAATATTTCATCAATGCTCAGCAACTGAAAGTAAACTTACTGCCCAGAAGTTGACACTTAACAATGTTTTTTAACAGGGTCAATAAAGTAGGTATATTACCCTAGCGTAACAATTTCATAAGTCCATATCCTAAGGTATATAGTATTTTGTTGCTAATTTGTTGCTATTTTGTGCCGCAAGAATTGATTTTGTTGCTCCATGATTTCTCCGAAAAACGCCTGTTACGCTAGCGTAATATTACGCTAGCGAAACCACAGCGATAACTCGAGGCAAAAGCAGTTAGAGAGATCAGATGAACGGCATATTTTGTTGCTGTAAGATAAGCTGGTTAGATATGGAAAAATTACCCCCCTTCATGGGGGGCTAACTACCCTTATTCTTAGATATTTCAGATTTTTCGTATCTCGTGAACTAAAGCAGCTAGCGGCACGAGACAAACGGCGTATTTTGTTGCTATTTTGTTGCTGTAAGATAAGCTGGTTAGATATGGAAAAATTCCCCCCCTTCATGGGGGGCTAACTACCCTTATTCTTAGATATTTCAGATTTTTCGGATCTTGTGAACTAAAGCAGCTAGCGGCACGAGACAAACGCCGTATTTTGTTGCTATAAGGTAGGCATGATCCGTACATCATAATCACAACCCTTATCGGGGTATGACCAACCCCCGACCTCAAGACACCAGATAATTCGTATCTCGTGAGCTAAAGCAGCTAGCGACCCGAGACCAACGGCGTATTTTGTTGCTATAAGATAGGCATGCTGCGTACATCATAATCACAACCCTTATCGTTGTATGATCTACCCCCGACCCTGAAGACACCAGATATTTCGTATCTCGTGAACTAAAGCAGCTAGCGGCACGAGACAAACGGCGTATTTTGTTGCTGTAAGATAAGCTGGTTAGATATGAAAAAATATCATCCCTTCATGAGAGGCTAACTACCCTTATTCTAAGTAATCTCAGATATTTCGTATCTCGTGAGCTAAGCAGCTAGCGACCCGAGACCAACGGCGTATCGGGGGTTGGTCATACCCCGATAAGGGTTGTGATTATGATGTACGCAGCATGCCTATCTTATAGCTACAAAATAGCAACAAAATACGCCGTTGGTCTCGGGTCGCTAGCTGCTTTAGCTCAAGAGATACGAAATATCTGGTGTCTTGGAGTCGGGGGTTAGTCATACCCCGATAAGGGTTGTGATTATGATGTACGCAGCATGCCTATCTTATAGCAACAAAATACGCCGTTGGTCTCGGGTCGCTAGCTGCTTTAGCTCAAGAGATACGAAATATCTGGTGTCTTGGGGTCGGGGGTTGGTCATACCCCGATAAGGGTTGTGATTATGATGTACGCAGCATGCCTATCTTATAGCAACAAAATACGCCGTTGGTCTCGGGTCGCTAGCTGCTTTAGCTCAAGAGATACGAAATATCTGGTGTCTTGGGGTCGGGGGTTGGTCATACCCCGATAAGGATTGTGATTATGATGTACGCAGCATGCCTATCTTATAGCTACAAAATAGCAACAAAATACGCCGTTGGTCTCGAGTCGCTAGCTGCTTTAGCTCACGAGATACGAAATATCTGGTGTCTTGGGGTCGGGGGTTGGTCATACCCCGATAAGGGTTGTGATTATGATGTACGCAGCATGCCTATCTTATAGCTACAAAATAGCAACAAAATACGCCGTTGGTCTCGGGTCGCTAGCTGCTTTAGCTCAAGAGATACGAAATATCTGGTGTCTTGGAGTCGGGGGTTAGTCATACCCCGATAAGGGTTGTGATTATGATGTACGCAGCATGCCTATCTTATAGCAACAAAATACGCCGTTGGTCTCGGGTCGCTAGCTGCTTTAGCTCAAGAGATACGAAATATCTGGTGTCTTGGGGTCGGGGGTTGGTCATACCCCGATAAGGGTTGTGATTATGATGTACGCAGCATGCCTATCTTATAGCAACAAAATACGCCGTTGGTCTCGGGTCGCTAGCTGCTTTAGCTCAAGAGATACGAAATATCTGGTGTCTTGGGGTCGGGGGTTGGTCATACCCTGATAAGGGTTGTGATTATGATGGTCGCAGCATGCCTATCTAATAGCAACAAAATACGCCGTTGGGTTCGGGTCGCTAGCTGCTTTAGTTCACGAGATACGAATTATCTGGTGTCTTGAGGTCGGGGGTTGGTCATACCCCGATAAGGGTTGTGATTATGATACGCAGCATGCCTACCTTATAGCAACAAAATACGGCGTTTGTCTCGTGCCGCTATCTGCTTTAGTTCACAAGATACGAAAAATCTGAAATATCTAAGAATAAGGGTAGTTAGCCCCCCATGAAGGGGGGGAATTTTTCCATATCTAACCAGCTTATCTTACAGCAACAAAATAGCAACAAAATACGCCGTTTGTCTCGTGCCGCTAGCTGCTTTAGTTCACGAGATACGAAAAATCTGAAATATCTAAGAATAAGGGTAGTTAGCCCCCCATGAAGGGGGGTAATTTTTCCATATCTAACCAGCTTATCTTACAGCAACAATTTTGTTGTTGCTATTTAGCAACAAAATATGCCGTTCATCTGATCTCTCTAACTGCTTTTGCCTCCGAGTTATCGCTGTGGTTTCGCTAGCGTAATATTACGCTAGCGTAACAGGCGTTTTTCGGAGAAATCATGGAACAACAAAATCAATTCTTGCGGCACAAAATAGCAACAAAATACTATATACCTTAGGATATGGACTTATGAAATTGTTACGCTAGGGTAATATACCTTAATTACTAACCTAACCTAGTTAAAGTGACTCTCCCAGGCCTAAGACATATATTATAGCTATTAACGGGATTGGTACCATGTACCTTGTTTTTTATGAGTCTCCGATATTTATTTATAAGAAATATTATAGAGCATAGAATAAAATAGAGCTTGGCCATTGCTGCCAATATTTGACCAACAATATATAATAAGCAGGCTTAAAAGGGGAGAGCGTCATATTTTTTGTTATATATGGGTTGTATGTCCAAGTTAAATTGAAAATAAAGCTCTGTGAGAATTGATAATAAATGAAGCGAAATTTTTACTGAAATTTAAATATTCTGTTCCTTGTTTGCTTTTGTAAAGCTTGGTACATTAATAAAATCCCATTATTGTAAAGAAAATTACGCTTACCGAGAAATTAGGGCCTGGATAAGGCCTCGGTGGCATCGGGGAGCCTGGTGGTTGCGCGGGCCCCGGGTAGCGTTGTGGCTGCTGCTGCATGGGCCCCGGAGGGGGAGCAGGGCTAGGCCCACCAGTTGGGAATCTTTGTGCCATTTTATTCAACGTTTATGCACTCAAAACACAATTTCTATGCCACAAATTTTGGTTGTACTATTTTACTTATACAACTACCACATTATTATTTGGTCTTTATACTTAGAGGATAGTGAAACATTAAATTATCATAGAAAACGCTTCATTATCCACTTATCACGTTAATTTTACAATTAATTTACGAAATTCTTCTAAGAAACGCGTCTGTTTCACATTTGCAATTGCACCGTAAACAATTTTTGTTGTTGTCATTTTGTCCTTAGCGAAAGGCAAACGTTATTAACTTCATACAGTCTAGCTTTAATTTCTTAATTTTCATTTTCAGACGCTGAATATCATCGTTAAAAACGAGTTGGGGGTGGCAAACTTGTATCTCTAATTACTTATTATTATAATGAAATGAAATATTTGTTCAAACTCTAAAGCTAAACTTAAATTTGACAACAGTGCATCGTTCTCATGTTCTATACAGAATAAAAAGGAAAGACTGATGTTAAATTTAGTTTAGTTAACAATCGTGTTAGATAATAGCTTAGTTGACTCATGTCAAATTGTACTATACAAATGTTTATTTCTTATAATTTTTTGGTATGAGGCTCCATCGATTTAACTTCATAAAATTAGAAGTTGGTTGTGGTAATTTAATTTGAAAATTTGTTTTTTAGTCTATGGTGTGTTTCGTCACAAAATTTGTAAACAACTAAACGTCACGGTCGTGTTACTGTGGTTTCTTTCGTCGGAATAAAATATATCTAAAAACTCTTATATCTTGTAGAAAAATTTCCGTTTATTGGTTTTCTTGAGTTAATTAATGCTGGACGCCGGATTTGTGAAAGCAGAAACGACAAAACTCTTTGTCTTAGGGTAAGACCACAGTGCATTCAGATTCAGAATCAGATTCAGACTCAGAAAACAAGCGCGAGAAATAAACAATGTAGTTTAAGCAGGGTGGCCATAGTGGCAGCAGGCAAACTGCATAAACTACACTGTTTATTTTTCGCGCTTGTTTTCTGAGTCTGCATCTGATTCTGAATCTGAGTGCATAACTGTGGCCGTACCCTTAGTAGGTACATTCATAACCTTAAAAAATGTGTTTTTAAATATTATTCAATGAGTACTTACATCGAAGTGATCTAGTGTTAAAAGAAATGACTTTCAGTCGATAAAGTGACAGGATTTGGCAAATTTTAAACATGTTTTCATGTGTAGGTACAGAATATAATTCTCTAGGAAATTTAAAACACAACTTTTCTGGAGTGTTTAATGATGTGTTTCTACATTTTCGTATAATACAATCATGATAACCTATAATGTTACCTATAATGCGAAGAGATGGCGCTGCCTTGCAGCTTAAGAATGGCTAGAAGAATTACGACGTGGTCCGTGAGGGCCGCGGTAGCATAATTGGTCAGTGCACTCGCCTGGATTGCGAAGGGTGCGGGTTCGAGTCCCGTCTGCTGCCTGGTCCGCGTGGATTTTTTTCTAGTTATATTTTCTTTACAATATATTTCATGTAATCTATTGGAAATCATGGTTTCATAATATAAATTATTTCCAACGTGTTTGCGAGTGTTTGTTTACAAATATGTTGACGTCATACCATAGACAAATCTATATACTAAAATGACCGACAGCGTTTTTGTATGTCCATGAAAAATCTATTTTATGATTAAAGTACTGTAGCTTTCTAGGTCAAAAAAATACAATATATTTTTTCGGTCTTATATAACAATTTATAACCATTTAAAACATAAGTATTTCCATAAAGTGTTAACTAGCCTTCTGCATTATTTATAAAACTGTGTCGCAGCTATTAACGCCCACCTCCAGAAAACAATTTTTGCTACATTTTTTTTAATCTTAATCCTAATTTAGCATTAAAAAAGAAATTAAATGCGTGTGTGCGTATGTATCTGTGGATATGTGTGTGTGTGTGTGTGTGTGGCTGTGTGTGTGTGTGTGTGTGGCTCTGTGTGTGTGTGCGTGTGTGTATGCGTGCATGGGTGTGGCTGTGTGTGCGTGTTTGTATGTGTGTGTGTATGCGTGTGTGTGTTTGTGCATGTATTAACCAAATTAATACTACCTACCTACATGATCAGGCCAATCCCAATAAAGCACCAAATAATTCTTCTGTATCAGAATATGTCAGGCTTTGAAGCCATTGCATAGTTTTTACCTTACATTTTCTAAGAGTTAGTGTTAATATATTCAGAACTCCGTTTAACTCGTCTCGTTGTATAAATTTAATCTTACACTGGTGTCGATTCTGGCACGATTCTCTAAATCTAAACTTAAATTTGAAAACAGTGGTGTCGATTCTGGCATGATTCTCTAAACCTAAACCTTAATTTGACAGCAGTATATCCTTGTCATTTTCTATACAGAATGAAAAGGAGAGACTGATGTTAAATTTAGTTTTAAGTTTAGAGAATTACACCAGAATTGGCATCAGTGTATCCTTGTCATTCCCTATACAGAATGAAGAGGAGAGTGATGTCAAATTTAGTTTTAGGATTAGAGAATCACGCCAGAATCGACACCACTGCCTGTCTTACACAAAATGTAAGGTCTACGTTTACTTAACGAAACACGGTCATAATATCGCATCTGCGAGTGTTTTCTTAATACATTAAGTAAGTAAATCTGCCTAACAGACAAAACATTAAAAAGTGCATAGAGCTCAGAAGTTGGAAAGGTATTTGGATTGAAATTTATTATTTTAGGGAAGCCCTTTGAGCCCTTTCCAGACGCAAGAGGTGAGTATGACCTGAACAACCCAGACAACAATGCAATATGAGATAATTGATTGTCCCATATCTATCACATTAATTTCTAAGTTTTTAGGGTTCCGTAGCCAAATGGCAAAAAACTGAACCCTTATAGATTCGTCATGTCTGTCCGTCCGAACTACACTGTTGAAACTTCGTTGTATTCTGTAAACCACATTAAGATTTTCACACAAAAATAGAAAAAAAACCAGAAAATTTTGGGGGCCCCCGTACATAAAACGGAAACTCAAAAAAATTTTTTTGACTGATTTGGCGATAGGGTTTTTGGGTGATATTTTTCAGGATCTTAGACAATACCGTTAAAACCGAGATAGTTTCCCTACTCTTGTGTATCGGGTGTACAAGGGCTTTTTTTAAAACTGTTGGAAAAATACCGAATCTTAAAAGCGATATTAAAAGTAAGCACCTTACAAAAGTTCGGATGCGTAACGTCAATAAGTGCATCTTTACCGTTGAAACTAGTTTTTTTTAACTATACGTAGATGAAACTTTATACCTCAAAATTATTCAAGTAAATATAAGAAGTATAGGCATAAATTTCTCTAATTTATTAACATTATTACAGGGTATATCTATTTCAGTTGATATAATAGTCTTGTCTGAATGTTGGTTAAGCGTATGTCCGTTTTTGCCTAGTCTCTCCAGCTTCAACTTGTGCATGTCTTCATATAGTAACTAAACGAAGGAGTAGTAGCATACGTCAGAGAAAACCTTCCGTTCTCTTTTGAGGTACCTTGTTTAAATTTTACTGATAAATTAGCAATAATCGCTCTATATCGCTCAACAACATATACAAATACTAATGGTTTCATGGCTTCGCTGGGCGCTACCTTAAATAGTATCAGTAATTCTCCAACTCTTAGAAAATGTGGGTTTTTTTTATATAAAATTACAATGAATCTAAATATAGCTAAACTAAAAAGTTAAAATAATTTAAAATATAATGCGATTCAACCAAAAATAGGACCGACTGGGCGCCATATTGTGACGTCATAGCTGTCAATTCAAAAGTTAGTGAGCGAAAAAAAGTTTTTATTTCATAAAAGTTATTTACTAAGATTGAGAAAAAAAAACAACCGATTTTTAATAATATTTATTTATTAAGACTGTGTGAGAAAAAACATTTATCAGAATCTAGCTCTTCAATTCTGCTCATCTCTGCATTACCGCCGGAGTAGTTATGAATAATTATGCACTATTACTAGGTCACATACGAACATGCATCCTTTATGTAAACGAAAGTTTTAAATCGAGTTTATCAACGCAACTTAAAGTGACATTTGGTTGACGATTTTGGTTATTCACCAGTCATAGCCAAAGCTCAATAAATGAAATAAAATATCAAACAATATTAATTATCATTATTTGTTATTTTTTGTTGACATATGTTTGGTTTTTATTCTAGAATTAGCTGAGTGCTAAGAAAGGGTTCCAAAATTTTTTTGCAAACCGTACTCTTCAAGCGAAACTTTGACAGATCGAGGTCATTGGCTTTCCTATTCATAATTGAATCGCACTTTAGGTCCTTTAAAATTATTTCAGGGTTCCTCAGACTAGTTTTCGATTTAGGGATCCGTTTGCGAATATGTCCATTTATGAATTTTAAAGTGCTAATTTTTGTTCGTGTAGGGCGCCCCCTCCCCTCTAAAACCTAAAGTGTTAGTTTGAAAAACCTGGAAAAACATGATATTAGTGCTTTTCATGAACTTATAAGGAAAATTATATTGGTTGAAACAGATTTGTTAGTTTAAGAGTAAAAGTCGTTCAACTTATGTATTAGTTTTCTGACCTAATAAAAAATCCTTAGAAGAAAACATTAAATGCGACTTAGACGATGTAATTGCTTCAAATATAGACTTTCCAAAATATATTGCGTCGATGACAAGCATCTACGAAACCGCGCGTGGCACGAGACGTGTTGGCCGTTTTTAGGGGTCGAACCCTTCGTCAAATCCGTCCGTCTGACCGTCCGTGTATCACACACAGCCACTTTTTTCTGAAACTATAAGAACTAAACTGTTGGAACTTGGTAAGTAGATGTATTCTGTGAACCGCATTAAGATTTTCTCACAAAAATAGAAAAAAACTAAATTTTGCGGGTACCCCATACTGAACAAATGAAATGCAACATTTTTTTTTCTTCAAACCCATACGTGTAGGGTGTCTGTGGATAGGTCTTCAACAATCATATTGAGGTGTCTATTATTTTTTTCTAAACTAAATAGTTTACGCGAGAGACACATCCAAAGGGGGAAATGTGTGTCACCCCCGCCCCCTCCCCCTCCCCCTGTAACTTCTAAAATAAGAGAATGATAAAACTAAAAAAATGGATGCGTGTAACTTATGTACGCGCGTGAGAAGTTATACTTCTTTAGCATCATTAAAAATATTTTTTAATTGCATGCAAATAATTAATAATTACAATAAAATAATAAAAGGACTGGAAAAGGATAGTTAACACAGTCAATTAAGTTCAGTTTTAATTTGAAAAATTAAATAAGTATTGAAAATATTCAATTAAAATCACTACTGAATTTAAGTTATTAGTCCATATGTAATTAGCACTTGTAAGTAACTAAAACACGTTGTGTCTATATAGAAACTAGAAACATGTGGATAAATATTATAAATATGAAAACAGTGATCAGAGGCGACGAGCGTGCCAACATTGTTTTTGACAACGCGATCATCTTAAGGAGCTCCGTGGATCGTTCAAAGTATCTTTCGAACAGATGTCTAGACCACTAAGTGGTTAATAATCCACCATTATTAGACACTAACATTCATTACGCGCCCGCGGCCAACTTCATGGTGTTACTATTGTGTTACAGTGATGCGCGCGCATCTCGAAATTTCACTCACATGATTTTTTCATAACGCGCCCGCGGCTAACTTCATTATGTTACTATTGTGTTACAGTGATGCGCGCGCATCTTAAAATTTCACTCTCATCATTTTTTCATAACGCGCCTAAAGAAGTATAACTTCAAAAAATATATGATTTACATTACCATGCACACTTCCACCGGAAATTGGTTTGAACGAGATCTAGTAAGTAGCTTTTTCAATACGTCATAAATCGTAAACCGCTATTTACCTTTAATTCAATCAACTCAAATATAAAAATAAAACATTTAATTTCACAAACATAAACGCAATGCATAAACCGTAAACCATTATTTCTAATAATAAATAAATAAATATTTCTAACACTCACACCAATTAGTCTAGCCCCAATGTAGGCACTCTGTAAGGCTTGTGTTATGGGATGCTAGGGTAACGGATAGAATACATACTACTGTACATACATAAGTATATTTATATAGAAATACATATTAAACAACCATGACTGGAGTACAAATGCTCGTATTCTTCACACAAACATTTGCCCCCACCGGGATTCGAACCCGGGAAACCCGGTGTACAAGCCACTCGGCCACGGAGGTCGTCAAATCAATAAATCTGTAATAGGTGCCTAATTAAATAACAATTATTATTCGCGCGTGGCTTAATCGGTAGCGGGTGCAGAACGCGCGGGGGGGCAGGTTGTATATTATGTTACTTGCTGCTACGGAACCTTACATGGGCCAGTCCGACTTACACTTGGCCGCTTTTTTTTTTAAATTAGCGTGTTACATTTTATTTGCGTGAGAAATAAAAAGGGTGTACTGCGATCTTATTTTAAATATCTCTTATCTATTAAACAAGTTCGTCCGTCCGTCTGTGGTGCTGTTTCAGCGGCCAAACCGTAAGAGATAGATAAAGAGAATATTTAGGCTATAAGTTAAGAATAGTCTGATAAGACTACAAACCGGATTTGAGTAACGTAGCACTTCCGGTTTTCGAGAAATCACGAATTTCAAACGAAACCACACAAAATCTCCGAAGTTCTCAATTAATTAAATCCTTTTTTTTTAAATCATGTTTTGGTGAACATTTGGTTCACTGGTTTGCTAGTGAGATATAATGCACCTATAAAATGGTATATTTCTTCTCAGTCTTAAATTATTTTTAAGTTTTTTAGTATACAATTACAATTTTTATAGGCAAAGGCATTGCGATTAGCATTTATAATTTAAAATTGTTAACTTCCTTAATTTACGTGTAGGGGAGGTACAGTTATTTTTCAAGAATTTATTTATATCCATAGATAATTTTACTAGAAAAAAATCCACGCGGACCAGGCAGCAGACGGGACCTTTATGCTACCGCGCCCCTACTAACCTACAATGCCAAGATATGGCGCTGTCTTGCAGCTTAAGAAAGGCTATTTAAAATTCGAAACGGCTGTCAGGGCCGCGGTAGTATAATGATCAGTGCATTCGCCCGGATAGCGAAGGGTGTGGTTTCCCGTCTGCTGCCTGGTCCGCGTGGAAAATTTTCTAGCAAAATTTTCTTTAGATTTAACATCTAGCAGTTACATATTATGGTTACATGAATAGATAAATGATTGGTCTGGCTTAGCGAGACCAATCATTCATCTATGACTATTATAATTATAATTAAAAGAGAGAAAATAATGCGCTGACAGCCTGACTCATCAACGCACAGTCGAAACGGCTGGACCTAGAATGACGTTGGATAGTAGGTTCCTATTATTGCTTAGACAAGTACTAAGATGGGATAGTTTGAAATTCAGTCGCTTAAGCGTGAA